CAGAGAAAAGCACCGAATATCCAGTGTGGGCAAATGCTTCTTATATGCTTAAGTAATCTAGTAAACAAATCATCCTTTTGGTCTTAGACTTCAGGTCACTCCTCTGACAGAGGAGAGATGAATCTCTGTGAGACAATGGTGATCAGCAAAGCTAACAGGAAATCTGTACCTGAGCAGGACAGACTCCTGAGCTCTTGTCCAGCATGAAACCCATCCAACAGGTCATCGGTGCCTTTCACATCCAGACCAGGAAAAAGCAGTGCTACTCTGCAAGCAAGATGACCAAGTTCTACTGAAGCCCAGAACTGCGCACTGGATATAGAATCACCTCCGGTTGGAAAAGACCTTCAACCATTCAGCATGTACTGCTAAGTCCAGCACTAAACCGTGCCACTCAGGGCCTTGTCTACATGGCTTTTGAACACTTACAGAGAAGGTGACTCCACCACTGCCCTGGGCAGCCTCTAATACATATGTTTACATGTTCCATGTCAGTGGAGGTGCAGATTTATAGTTAGCAGGGCCAAGCACATTATAACCATTTCTGGAAGTTATACTGAATATAAGGAGGAAGTTATTTACTGTGAGGGTGGCGAAGCACTGGAATGGGTTGCCCAAGGAAGTTGTGAATGCTCCATCCCTGGCGGTGTTCAAGGCCACATTGGACAGAGCCTTGGGTGACATGGTTTAGTGTGAGGTGTCCCTGCCCATGGCAGGGGGGTTGGAACTACATGAGCTTAAGGTCCTTTCCAACCCTAACTATTCTATGAGTCTATGATCCAGCAGAAATCTTCCCTACCTTATACGTTATTCTATTTCCAGTACCTGTTCCCATGCACAGCCCTTGGCCTACTGGAGATGGGAGGCAAGCCAAGCCCTCAAGACCGTATGCTAGCAACTGGTCCTTGTAGAAGTATGTATGTCATAAGAAGCATAGAACCACAGAATGTTTTGGTTTGGAAGGGACCTTAAAGCTCACCTGGTTCCAACTCTCTGCCACAGGCAGGGACACCTTCCACTAGAGCAGGTTGCTCCAAGCCCCTGTGTTCAACCTGGCCTTGAACACTGCCAGGGATGGGGCAGCCACAGCTTCTCTGGGCACCCTGTGCCAGCGCCTCAGCACCTTCACAGGGAAGAACTTCTGCCTAATGTCTCATCTCTGTCATTCCCCCTTGTCCTGTCACTACAGGCCCTTGCCAAAAGTCCCTCTTCAATACTCATGCAGATGGTGTTATGCATTTCAATACTGTTTGTCCTCCTCCCTGCGTTTTAGTTGAGTGTATTTTACTTTCACCTTGAATCAAAAATGAAATGTCAGGAATGATGCACAAATAGAGAGTTTGAAATACAGCAATATCATAGACTGAATATGTAAAAAATGAGACCACCTTTAAAACACAAAAACACAAAAACACAAAAAAGAAAAAACAATGAGGAAGTCTCGAAAACTATATGTAAGGGGGAATGAAATTTGGTCTCTGTAGCTGGCACCAAGCAGCCGTCAGGGTTCTGACCAATCTGGAAGACAATTAGATTCCAGCAGACAAACCAGTAAGTAATGATGATGACTGCTGATGCTGCAGAGACTGGGGCTGGCCTGCATTAGGTTAAGTAAGCTGGATACAAGCCAGTATCATCAAACAAATGGCATGGCACATTCTGGAGGAATCTGAGGAGGGATTGCTAATATCTTAAAGGTGACCTTTCACACATGCTACCCCAGCATATTAGGCAATCCTGTTAGCTGTAGTGGAGGAAATCAGCAGAGGTCAGTCGACTCAAGTTATGAACTCCTCAGACAAACAAGATTTTTAAACTTATAATAATTGACTGCACCTCATTTGAGCAAAGCTCCTTAAGTGCTATATTGCTTTATTTCACCCCTTCCCCATTTTAAAGAAAACATAATCTAACTTTCCACTAATCATAATCATTCAGGCAGGGAGTGAGCTAAAAATAACCTGAATTTTTAGCCATATTGTCTATTAAAAAAAAAAAAAGAAGTGAAATCTTTCCTAAAAGGGCAGGTGCATTAATGAAGGCTGCCTCGGGATAAAGGAAAATTACTACGAGTGCTCTGCTTTCCTGAAGGATCTTTCCATAGATTATTTATAATTGAATGAAATTGACTACAGCATTTGTAAGAGAAACTGTATCCAAAGTGTTTCATTTCTGCAAAAGCTGCATGAACAGGAAAAAATATCTACATTTTTATGAAGGGAAAAGAGAAGGTATCTTCTTTTCCCGTAAGTAAAACAAACAGTAAATATACTGGGTACAAATCTCATCATTTGCAGCCCCAAAGTATAACTGAGAATAGGATCCCAGGTTCTGAGAAGCCATCTCACAGCCAGAAATCCTGAAGATGGGACTGAGCTCTTTTCCATTGCTTCAGTGAAGGAAGTTCAGCTTAACTGAGCTCAAATTCCGTAACTAATCAGTAAAGTTTTAAATCAGTATCAGACTAATGCTTGCTCAAACAGTGCAACATACTCCGTCTTCAAAATACAGTCTTGCCCTGCCGACAACTGGAAAAGCTAAAGGACTGAGGATAACACACACTGGCATATAGTTTTTCTTTTCAAACAGAAAACATCCTTTCGTATCCCACAGAACAGTCCCTAAAACAGCACACAACCTTGTTTTGTGCACAGAGATATCATCACTACTGAAAGCAAACAAAGATAACTTTGGGGAAAAAGAATTTGTGTCATTTCAAACAACAGCACCTTCCGAATTCGTTCTGAACAGAAGAAGGTAAGCGTTTAAAGATACTGCTGGGGAACGGACAAAGACACTTCAGGCAGATGCTGCTTCCAAATCAGCCAAAGCAATGCACTCATGGACTGTATCTGTAGTTATCCGATATTCCCCTGGATTGTGAATTGTACTGTCAGCAAGCTAAGCAAGTGCATATTAGAAGGCCAATAAATGCAATGCAGAATTACATTGTAGCATCTTGTAACATACTGCATACATTGCAGGAGATATCTATAACACTGGGCTTGCTGAGATTAGTTAGAAAGTTTAACTATATCCCTAATTATTTCTGTGTAATCAGTAATGAAGCTGTGAGTTGTCAGATAAAACTAATATGGACATACTTTGATATTCATTTCCCTTCTAGACACACAAGAAAAATAACATTTGATTGAAAATAAAAGCAGATGCAAGAACATAGTTCCTGATGTGTTCTAGGTTTAACACTTCTTTATGGGATACATTATGAGACTATCACCTAGGCACTAGCACAATGGAGACCTCCTGTTCTGCAATGCGTGTAGGTTCCAATGCCTACCGTGCACTACCTAAGAACCTGGAGAAAGCGTCTCTTAATTTTTCATGTTTATCCTTGGATGTCCGATAAACTAGCAAACACAAGTGTCATTGATGAAAAGGAGAATTTATCAGATCACCAGAAGTGGTTGGGTTTTTTTAATAATCTACGTATTATAATGACTGTATGTCTCTGGCTCTGTCAGGTGTTCTGAATTGAACAGAATAGAACTGTGATATTAGGTAACTTGAAAGGTTACAAACATCCAGGCATTTTTCTCCTAGTAAAATACTGCCTTACTTCATATTACCTACTGCCACAGCTTCTGTCTGTAGACTCTCTGAAGTACATCCTATGGTGACCAAAGTGAATGAAATGTTCAGATTTGTGTGTTTCCTTCTCATTTGTTCTCTGCAAGAATTCCTCTACTTTCATGACAGATCTATCTACATCTTTTAGATTAGTCTTTGCCCTGCTTAAGGCCACACTGCTATAATTTTTCCATTGACAGTCATGTTGAACTTCAAGCAAACATAGGCAGCTGCATCCATTAGTCATTTCAGTAATTTCTGATCTAACCTTCAACAGATAAGAGAACACCTGCCAATCAAATGCTGCTATTATTTATAAGACAGTTCCTAGTTCTTTCCTTCTCAAGCTACCACTTACAAAAATGGATCCACTTTAAGTGTATTTTCATCCTTTACTTATGTAATTGCAGTCAAATATGTCTGATTTTTTTTCCATGCTTCTCTAACTTTTGTATGACAGATGTACTCAGTACAGCACAGTTTCTGATGTCTCAGTCAAAACTACAGCAAAGGGACTATAAAACTATGGACTTTAATGTCTTTGCCTTTATTTAGAAAGCAAATTTTCTATCCCCTTACACCAGTTCCTGTGGAATGTCCACAACTACAAACACACACCAGGGAAACACTGCTTCTAGAGTTAAGGGATCAGATGTTTTAGAGTAAGAAAATACATTGTTGACATCCAGCATAATACACCCCAACTTTCTGTTTAGAGAATTCTGCACGCAAGCCAGACCTACTGCTTTACAGGGTTGCTTCTCAAGCAACAAACTTCCTCCCCAGGTCTTTAATTTCAAAGCAGACTCTACTGAACCCAACTACTGGACACTATTCCAACAAGGTTGGAAAAGACCTTTAAGATCATCAAGTTCAACTGTTCCTCAGCACTGCCAAGTCCAACACTAACTCCTGTCACTAAGGGCCTCGTTTACATTGGTTTTGAATGGAGAAGACCTTTTTCCTAATATTCAGTCTAAACCTCCCCTGACACAGCTCAAGGCAATTTCCTCTTGTCCTATCCATTGTTCCTTGGGAGGAGAGCCCAGGCACCTCCTGCCCCCATCCTCCTGTCAGGCAGTTGTAGAGAGTGATAAGGTCCCACCTGAGCCTTCTCTTCTCCAGACTGAACACCCCAGGTCCCTCAGCTGTTCCCCATCACACTTGTGTTTCAGGCCCTGCACCAAGCTCCATTGCCCTCAATGTCTCTCTTGTAGTGAGGGGCCCAGAACTGAACACAAGATTTGAGGTGTGGCCTCATCAGTGCCCACCCCAGGGTTTTCAGGGACTATTAAACAAAGATCTAGTTGAAGACTAAAACCTGATGCAAGGACAACACCAATTTGTTTAAATGTTTATCCATCAAATAATGAAAGTGATAAATGGGAGTAGTGAATAATCAGAGCACTTACTGTAGCAGAGAGCTGTGGTCCATTCAACTGTGCATGCAGGATGGCTTCATTGATGGAGTTCCAGATTCCCATCAGTGCAATTTCCACATCATGTGAGGCAGCCATTTCATTAGTCAGATATTCCAGCGTGGAGATATACTCCCTCCATTGTGCATCCAGTTCTGACACACTGGCCAAGCAGCCCCTCATTACATTTAGACAATATCCAACACAGGGCCTGATGAGTGTCAGGCCCTGGCAATGTGGGCAATACTGCATCTTCACTAGAGCTTTGCTACATTCCTTCGTGAGAGCTGCATGTTCAGTAGTATTTATCACTTCAATGCCCAGATTGAGGGCCTGGCTGAGCATCCTACTTGCCCAAAGAGATTTTGACAGCTCTGTAACCATGTTTTTAGAATAGTGTCCAAAAGGATTTATGTCTTGCCTTGTAAGCCGTAGACACTCTGTATAGTCCTCTGATAAATCTGTAATTCCTGGGTTTATTAGCCGACTATACACCAGGGGAAAGAGACTGTCAAAGAACCGTAATACTGCACTTTCCACTGTAGTCTCCGCACCCAGAATGTAGAGAGAGATGTCTGTAAAAAGTTCTTTAACAGGCTCTGCTGCTTCTTTTGCCATAGGTCTGTAAGCTGTCTCAAACAGGGAACTTGTGCGGTTTTCAGCAAAGCGAAGCAAAGACTCAAAGGCCTCTAAAAAGCGGCAGGGGAAAAAAAGAACTAAAGGTTAATAGCAAGTACCTGACATCTTGGTCACAGGACTAATATTGTCCTGAACAGGAACATCAATATTTACATGAAATCTGCAATATAGATACACTGGTAGTTATGCAGCTTTCATCCATAGTATGATTAAAGACAACTAAATATTACATAAGCTTAACAAAGTCAACAGGTAATACACACATTTTCTTTTAAGATGACTGTATTCTCACTGCCTAGACCCTAACCCAAACTCTATGGGTCAATAAAGGACCCACAGAGACCCCAGAGAGCACAGGCAGGGTCTATGCAAGACATTTTTTGTAACTGATGCTGCATTTGGGCAGTTCAACCAGATCCATTTCCACAGGATTCCTCTAGCTCAGTGAAAGCTTGTTGTATAACTGAATACAAATTGGAGCTGAAGCTTTCATTTCCAAATGCTCTAAGTGGGAGGCTAAGAGGCACTTCTTGCAAAACACAGCTCAAGGATGAAGGAAAGAAGCTGTGTGAATAAAGCCTCTCCCTGTTAACATCAGCTAGGTCTGCCAGTGGTTGCGCAGGATCTGACATCACATTCACTGTGAACCAAATCCATAATGCAATAAAGTCAGAAAAACAGCATCTCCTTCAACTGCAGCTTTTTTGAGTTCCCCTTACCCTACGAAGAAGAAAAATGAGCGCCATGGTTAACACATTTCGAAACGCAGAAGGCAAATATTATCCATCCAAAACACTGAGTGGGGTGCTTGAATTTGTAGACAGGGGCAAGGAAGGGATCAGTTCCCAATATGATTTTTAATGACACAGAAGACAATAATCCACACCATTCCCCTTGCTTTCTTTGGAAGCTCCTCAACAAAAGACTTCTGACACAAATCATTCATGCACTCCTCTGGACAGCAAGCAGCTCCAGTCGAGGCAGGAGCTCAATCACTTCATACCTCCTGAGGACTGTCCAGATAATGGGGTTTTGGTCTAATCCTACTCTACATTCATCTGAACATCATGATGCCATTCACTGCAGTGCAGTGCAAACTGAAGTCACCCAAAGACCACCTCAGCAAAAGAGTAGATACAATACTGGAAGTCAAGATTAGCATACACTGCAAAGTTGTGTCAGAAAGCTGCTCAGTGCACTCCTCTATTACGTCTCCCTGGGCAACTAACTTGCTTATTATGATAAGCATTACAATCCCTTTACCACAAAGCATGATTTAACTAGACAGATAATACAGCGTATCTCATTGTGCGCTAATCATCAGTATTTTACACACACACGCTGTATCCTGCCAGAGAATCACTTCAACATTCCTGCTGGTATTACAGCAACTAATACTCTGGAAGTGCTTATAAAAAAATCTTAGGAAATTAAGAATTCAGATACACTTCAGTTGAGAAGGAAGGAAGTTATTTGCAGGCAGAGCAACACCTTGCAAGATCCAGACTGAAACACACTTTTATAGCTGGATATAGGATGGGAACACTGACACAGCCTATCCTGTCGTGCAGTTAGCTGTGTGCTGCTGCACACCATAAAGAGTTTTTTGTTTGCCACATCACCCCTGTGTCTATTTGTAGAGGAAACCTAAACACCAGTTTTATCACACCAGAAAGGTAATGGGAATATTCAAAACATGAGTGTTTCAAGTTTCCTTCTTCAATAACACATGCTCTCTTACAGATACTTAACTTATCATTAGATTATGGAAGCAGGGACCGTCTCCCACAGCTATAGGGTTCAGATGGAGAGCATTAGGACAGTAAACAACTTCCAACTTGATTATGAATCAGTCGAAATCCACCATCTTTTCTTTCCATAGGTCTAACACAGCAATGTTAGGTCACTGTCCCACAGGGCTGACAAGGTAAGACCCCCTTGCCAGCACCATGGCTCTCCATTACATTAGTAACTCCTTGCACTCAGCAAGAACTGGATGCACACTGAACTTGAAAAAACCCCACAGACTTCCAAGGAAGGAAAAAAGAAACCCTTTCTATTATAAACATTACTGAAAGGATTTAACAATGCTCAATAAAGCAAAAGTAGAAGCAAACATTAGAACTATCTATACAGAAATAACATCTGTGTACATTTCAGATTTGAATGTAATCATGAAAGAAGAATGAGAAATTTAAGTAGCTCCATTATTTGTTTGGTCTCTTAGGACCACACTAATATTTGGCTCCTTTCCCCTTCAACATCTTGCATTTATTACAGTTACAGGACAAATGAAAGCTACAGTTTGTTGAACAATAGCTTCCTTTTAATGGTTTCAAGTCCATTAAATCTTCTGCATCTTTATGGCTTGCCAAAATAAAAAACAATATATTAATATTTTGCAGCAGTAGAATTTAAATACATACTATTTGCAATTTGATGCCTAGACAACAATGTAGACAGCAGGAAAATCACACCCAACTACACATCTACATGAAAAACAAATGTTAAAATTCAGAGTTCTACGTTTTGGATATGCAATGATCTCTAAATGTATTTGATATGAACAAAGAGAGCTCAAAAAGCAGCATTAAACAAGATGAACAGGTAGATTTTTTTAGATCTCCGGATTACTTGAAAAGCACAATGTAAGTGCAAAAGAAGTTGTGTCACATTTGCAAAGACAAAACCTGAAACCGATTCTCATTCATTAAAATGCATTTGAAAATAACTTGTAACTTTCAGTTGAATTTCTGTTTTGTGACATTTCACCAACAACAAAGAATATCAAATATTAGAAGTTTCCTTATTTATCCCGAATTATTCTGCTGAATGTAGGCCCTTTATCAATACTTTATACTTTTTTCCCCTATTCTCCTGGTTTTAGAATATGAGTCTTCCTACACATAAACACAGTCACTCTTGAGAAAGCTGATGAGAAATAGTGCCCTAATACACATAGCAGCAGCCTTGTGGAAGTATGATATCATAGAAGCATAGAATCATAGAACGTTTGGACTGGAAGGGACCTTAAAGCTCATCCAGTTCCAACCCCCTGCCATGAGCAGGGACACCTTCCACTAGAGCAGGCTGCTCCCAAGCCCCATCCAACCCAGCCTTGAACACAGCCAGGGATGGGGCAGTGGCAGCTTCCCCGGGCAATCGGTGCCAGTGTCAGCCTGGAGCTTTCTCTTCTCCATGCTGAACAAGCCCAGCTCTCACCACCTTGTAGCTGACACTACACCAACACTTGCACAAAGCACTGCAAGGCTGATCCAAAACATTCTGGGTCAGAAAAAAAACCTGAACGCTCTCAGAAACTGGGTGAAGTGTATGCTTCTCCTGTTACCTACTCATCTGTAGATGCTTTTAACAAGGCAGAGTGCAAAACAGATTCAAAAGTGAGAAAGCCAAGTAAGTTTTGCAAAGGGGGAAAGGGAAGCTTGAATTTGCTCACCTTGACAGCAAGGAGGGAGTATGATGCCTTTAGAGCTAATCAGTCCTTCAGAATATAGATCACAGCGGGAAAAAAAACCCAGAAACCCTTTCTCTTACTGTGTGGAGGGGCAAGGTGCGTACTTAACCTGACCATGAGCTTGTCTACACTGATAGCATCAGACAGATCCTGTCATGTACCTATTGCTAGAAACTTGTTAGTTATAACAACTCTCTGCCTCCTCCTATGCCCATACGTAATGGCTGTGGACAACACTGATTAATCAGAACTCACTGAACAGGATTATTTACAATATACTATTAACCATCCTTTAACCTTTTGCTCAGTTCCAAGTGTTAATTTAGGACTATTTTTAACAGAAGAAAACTTAAGAAAAGTTGCAATGGCTTTAAAGAATTCTAGCAGTGAGAACATCTCATGCAATTTGAGTTTCAGAGCAGCAGACCAACTACTGTAATCAGGTAATGCAGGCAAGGCAACTTCCAAATGGTCTGTTGGAACACTGACTTCCAATAACGGCAACAGGATTAAGTACCATCTGAAAACTTAATCTGCCTTATTCATTGTTTTCTTCCACACAAACCTATTCTTTCAGCCTTGGCACAGCAACCACCCCCTCAGCCTGCTGCCCCAGCCAGCAAATCCACACCCTTTGATGAATCAAACAGTCTACAATACACCACCTTCTTTTTCTTCTACTTTCTTGTAAACTTACACAGCTTCTTAAACTATACAATCTTGGACAGAGAAAAGGGGAGAAAGTATGCAGCCCGAATTTTGGTGAAAATGATGAATATTGAAACCATTAACTTTGGGCTAGTTCGGTATTTGATTCTGGAAGCATCAATAATAGAAATAACATCAAGTTTAAAATAGGCTCACTGCTTCATAGACTGGGGATGAAGAGGGTGGAAAAATGGCACTAGACACACAGGCTTAGTAACAACAGAATGGTCCAATGATAAATAGCAATCTAACTTGCTTTTGAACTGCTCGCTATTTTTCTTCCACCTTCAAACTTCTTGTAAATATCATGAATGAGCAGGTAATTAAATTTAGCTGTTTATTGTTTCTGCATACTGCCTTTCAGTGCAGTGGTACATTATTTCATACTCTGTAATTAGAGGGTGCAAGCTTTTTAAAGTGAGCAGTCTCAAGTAAAACTCAATTAGTTGACCAGCAGAAAGCTGGAGACCAGATGTGGTATTAACCTCTTATGACATCACTGAGCTTCCACTGGAAGATAAATAAAGCAAATAGTTCTTTGGGGATATTTGTGCAGTAGGAGGCTGATGGACAACTAGCATCACCATGGTAAGATGATCTAGAAGAGCCATCAGAGCCCTGAGGAATATGGCTGGATTTTTTTTACACAGCTGTGGCTATCAGTATTATTCTCCTTCTGCCAAAACAGTATTCCAAAAAATGATCCACAGAATTCATATCTGCCAAGTTCAAACTGACAGCTATTACTTAATAATATCAATTCACAGCTTTAACAGGAGTTGAGCCAAAGTAACTGAAGAATTAACTATGGCTGTCCAACAACATTAGCTTTGCCTTTAATCTGCCTTTACCATGAGTTTATAAAGA